TATATATATATATATACATACATATAAATATGTATGTATAATTTGCTGTGTATGTCCAGTAACTCTTTGTTTCAGACGTAGATATTTCTCGTGTATCTGTATCTCCTTCGCTCGTGAAAACTGAACGATTGAAAAATCGGTGTCATTAAGAACTACCTCAACTTTTTGTGCGCATTTAATGCGAAAGTAATTGGAAACGTAATTAAAAAACGACGGATGACAATGGATGGAAAACGACTGTTCGAAAAAGTGCAGATCGAAAGCGTAAGTGAACGAATTAAACAAAAAAAAAAAGAGAAAAAAAGAGAATCGATTCACACTCGTTCGACAGCTCTGAATAATCGTGTACTTTATTTATTTAACGTTTAATTAGACTTTCGCAAGTTTAAAATTCACAGTTTAATTCTCTCTCTCTCTCTCTCTCTCTCTCTCTCTCTCTCTCTCTCTCTTTCTCTCCACACTCATTACCTCTATTTTAATTTTAATGTCCATATTATTATATATAAGTGTCGCTCTTCGGTTAATTGATTGCGTCGTGAGAAACAAATCCCTCTTTTTTTCTGTTTTTTTTTTCTTCTCTTCCTCTTTATTATTAATTTCTTTATTATTAACTTCTTGCACTCGGCGAAACGTAATTGCATATAACTTCCCTAAAATTCACCACACTTTAACCGCAATAAATAATGTGTGTTACTCGCTGCTTATTTAATTAATCAAGATGGTTTGACAAAAACAATCGGCGACACCTCTCGCCGCACACGAGACGATCCCTCGCCGTATCCCATAAAATTAGATAACAACAGAGAGACCCTCGAGAGCTACCAACTAATTTTCAGTAATCGCACAGTGGGCATATCGTTACTTTACGCGTTCAGCGCATCGCATAGCACAAATTACGCCGCCGTTCGCTCTTTTTTTTCTTTCAAACAAGCCTTTTTACAGCTCTCTATACGGCCTCTCTTCGCATATTCATGTTTTCCTTTTGCCCTCGTTAAACGAGCAATCGGCGATTGGAACTGGAATAATCTTTAGTTCCTCCTCAAGATCGAAACCGCTATAATTGTAATTGTAGATACGTATGTACATCTGTACATGTTCATATATAGACACCCCTTGTAGAAATTAATACTGAGAATTAGTAGAAATTTACAGTGGTAAAATACTAACAATATTTCAACGATTATTTGGCCAATGCTTAATTATTAAATATCGGCTTATTACTGGTTCAATACTGGCAGCCCTTATAGATCCAGCAAACTTCAATTATAGACGATAATTTCTCGCTCAACAATGTAATTGTTATGTATAACATGTGTTATAGTTATATTGTGGAGCGGGGAAATTACAACAAATAATTATTATTAGTTGATGTTTACTGGGAAAATTTAATTTAATATACTGGAAGTGATTAATTGCTTACTTTGAATTACAAACATTATTATTCAATATTGAAAGCACTTAATAATAGTTTTTAATTTTTAAAGTTGAAGAATTTGTA